AGCCATGTTTTTAGTCTGGCACCAATAACTCAAGTTCAACTCAGTCAATTCAGTTGAAAAGTTCAGCAATAAGTTCTCATGAGAGCACATGTTTGCGGTAGGATTCATAGAGCTATAGCTCAATGTAGAGCAAAGATAGAACCATAAGAATAGTACCTTATGGAACAGGTTGTCAATCGACGAAATCTCGTTATCTTGCGAGGAGCTTTGGACCAATGAAATTAGGTATCATGGACTGCAATTAGCGTCAAGGCAAATGAAAATAAATTGTAGACACACGAAACAGCGAACAAACATTTTCTTAGATCTCATTTCCATTCGATTTCTTCAACACACCACACACAATGTATCTATGCATGCGAAACTGTCGAATGCTAGTGAAATCGCGCTCATTTTTCAGGAAATGCTTATATTTTATTAGCACAATTTAGAGTACGTATGTACAATGCTAATACAATTGAGGAGAAGCTCTATGAAACTGGCAGAATTATTTTGAAGCCAAATTCTCTGTGGTGTAGAAGTATCGTATGCATGTACACATTGTATACGTTGTATTGAAGAAATCGAATGGAAATTAGATCTAAGAAAATGTTCGTTCGCTGTTTTGTCTGTCTACAATTTATTTTCATTTTCTTTGGGGCTAATTGCAGCCCATGATGCCTAGTTCCATTGGTCCATAGGTCGTCGCAAGATAACGAGTTTTCGTCGATTGACAAGCCGTTTCATAAGGCACTTTTCAAATGGTTCTATCTTTGTTCGACATTCCATAGCTCTGTAAATTTTACCACAAACATGTGATCTTATGAGAACTTATTGTTGAAATTTTCAAATTTTCAAATGAATTAACTAAGTTAAGCATGAGTTATTGACGACAGATTAAAAACTATGGCTAACTACTTGATTAATAGTTTTCAATGTGAACTTCAGATTTCCGATATTCCAAAGTAGTTTCTTGCTAAATTTTGAATGTAGATAGCCACACCAGTGAGCTTACAAATGAGCGGTTGCATCAATACAAAGGTCAATAAATGACCGAGACATGACTTTCACACTCTGATGATATTGTTAGTCTGATAACTTCAATCTATATCAACGGATTAAGGTCGGGTTTGTGCTAGGAGTGGGAAGTTATCGTTCCCAGACCGTTACCTGGGAACGGTAACGGTAACGGTTGCTATGGAAGGAGTTACCAGTTACCCGAGTAACTGGTAACGGTCTCGTTACCAGCTACTTTTTCTTGGTAACTTCTCAAAAAGACAAAATATCACTTCTATTCGATCGAATATTGACAACACGTCAATACAAAAATTTGAAGTTACCAGTTACTTGGGAACGGGCCAACTTAAAAAATAATGCAATGACAAAATTCTCTCGACGGGAAGGGATAATTCGTCTTTTTGGAGAAGATACCAGCCCCATATCATGAGAAATAAGACTAGTTTATAGAGGCGACTACTTTTGTCCAGGACTGTAACTTGGAGTCGTCAAGTGCATGCAAAATATAGAAAAATGCAGAAAAACACGATGATTAATACAGCAGTAGAATATCTTGTGTGACTTAGATGAAGGTTCTATGCTACTTTGATTTCAATCATTTTATGCTCATTGGATAGCTCTTTCTTTGCTCTATCTAAATAGAATTAACAGAGAAATACAGTTTGAAAAGAGTAAGAGAACAAGACACATATTGGGGAAAAGCAGTAGGGTCGATCTAATTTTGAGACTGGCATGTCTACAAAATGGAGGCTGAGGACAAGGTTTCATGTGCACTTTTGTATAGCGAAATTCGCTCTATCAAATGGTATATTGCTCGAAGAGATTGTGAGAGTGCACTGTGGAGACAATAACCAATTACTGACTTACCAAACTTTGGAAGAAAAAAATTTTTTTTTCGAAACCTGCTGAAGGTACCATTAGTGTGCATTTTATAATTGTTTAGAAGTAAGCCAGAATGAGCTAAAATTTTGGATTTATAGGCTTATCCACTTAGTCTTTCATTTCCAGTCATAGAATATTAGGTCAAAATGTTTGAGAGTATGACTCTATTGAGAAATGTTCGATTTTCTCATGGACCGTCTCTTAAGTACCTATATGGCAGCAATGGTATGTTCTACATACGATGTATAAATCTGAGCATTTAAACTCAGTATTTTTGAAAGGACGCGGAACGACTTCTCCACAAAATGGCCCTAAATAAAAATCACGACTTATATCCTTCGTTTATTAGGTAATACGTTTCTTTTTGTACAACATTACACTACTCTCGACACAAATTCACCATTTTCGAGGATACTTCATAATATATCCTGTGAACCTCTCTTTTTGCCTTTATTTATAGCATATTCCAATTGATAGTAATATAATGTCACCCAGGTAACTTCCACTAAAACAAAATATGGGTAAATTCATGGAGATCCAGCCACTTTTTGGAAAAGTTTTTTTTTTCAGTTTTTTTCTCCATCAAATGGCTGATCCCCTTCAGAAAACATTATTGATCAAAAAACAAAATTAGCTTTCATTATCAAAATTCTGGACTTCCAGGTCAATTTTTCGGTACATGTCGAGATACATAGTAAAGGCCAGGTAGCTCAGCTAAAGCGCTCTACGGGTGATGCAAAATACTGTTCCATGGTCAACTTTTTATGCTGAATCTTATGGAAGGGTCTAAAAGCATTTTTGATGAAAAAAAAATCATTCATAAGGAGAGTCTGGAATTCTGGGACATTTTTGTGGAAAAATGGATATATAGACTGTATTTCATCAGCGAAAGTAACCACCAATCGCTAATATCTTAAAATATATTTTCACTTTGATTACAAAATCTTCTGACAACTGACATTGCTGAAAACTGTCAGCCAGTGTTTTCCGAAAAAACTTTGAAAAACAATGTACATCAAAAAGAACTTCATTTAAACGAAAATATGGTGACTTGTGTTGATCGAGAGGTCGGTCGACATTGAACTGTGTTGTTGTTGATAGGTTGGAATTCATGCATATTTCGGATACCATTGATCATGCCTAAATGGAGAGTGTAACTATTTAATAGAAAATAGTTTGACTTACCTGAAGAGCCAAGTTCTTCAATTCTGACTTTGATAACTCTCTCTTTGACCTGTTCGACTTCTGCAGAATCTAAGAAGAAAACATGTATACCAGGATTTCGTTTATTTGAATTGCTGGCGGTTTCCAATTGATGCTTGAGAGAAAATTCATAGAAATCCTTCGCAGTGGACAAAAGAATATTCTTGGAAAGTGTGGCACGTTTTTCAGTGGACTTCAACACTACAACGATGCTATCAACTGCTGCTTTACCGTGTCCGGTTACTATAAATGCCCAACAAGCATCCAAAGCAAAGTCATTCCTGTGATGAACTAGATTTAGAATGCTCGCATTATTCTTAAAATAAGCAGTTGCGCCATCGCTAAGAGAATTAAGAAAGTCAGCGTATACATAATAAACAGTCATGCAAGCTTCTGTGTGATATAGATGAGACTTACCTAATGTAATTGACTTTTTTGACCAAAGGATAATTCTTTTTTATGAACTGAGCGAGAATTTTCTGTGCACAATAGACAAAGGCTGTTGTGTGTTCCAGGTGATCACTAATTATCGCTAAGTTGCGATGCTCTTGTCCAATAGTCAGATGGATAGTGAACAATGTGACTTGATGATGACTGAAGAAGCCCTGACACCTCACGCTGGCGGATGAGTGTGTAGTTCATCGAGAAGTCGATATGAGCGACGATAAATGTTTTGTTCGTTGACTGGCTGCGCAATTCCTTGATATAATTACGTTGCTGTCTGTTATAATAGGTGTGGATAAGAAATGCCGGCCAACTTTCTTCGATCGTAGTTAAAAGAGAATCAATTGAGCCGATTATGTGTTGGAGGTCGAATTTGTTTTTCATTTTCTTCCACATCGTCCACGAACATTCATCGTCGATGTCAATGATACTGTTACCGATGAGAATGCCGATGATTGCTTCTTCTGGACAGTTCTCACATGTTCCATTAAAGCAATCTTCTGTTCCAGTCGTGCAAATCATTCGAGAGATGAGATCCTTTAGATTGAACTTGCCATCGTTTCCTGTAGAAGTTTTTTTTAATATACTTTTGATAATAGCTGTTCCAAGCCTATTATGAGTCAGACATTAGAAGTGAATCAATATCATTACAATAGGCACAAACCTTTAATAGAAGATCCATGTTTTCATGGGTAGTGCACATACACGTTTCATGTGGTGAGGCTATTTTGACTTCTCGAGATCGAAGTGAGTTGAAAGTCGATCGTGCTACAGCTTCAGGATGTCATTCGTTGAATATTCGATAAGCATCTAAGACTGTCATTTCCATAAATCGAACCGGTACCGGTTGTTTATTGATGAGGATCGTGTCTTTGGCATTAGATGACACTCGACTTATACCATCTTCGCAGTAAAATTTAACCACAGCGTCAAATGTTGCATCGGATAAAGGCAAATTTCCTCGTAAACACTGTGGATAAGCTAAAACTCCCTCTTTCTTTCTCAGAACGAGTGATCGGCGAGCCTGGTTTTGTCCTGAATTAAACCTAACAATAGAAAAATGCCAAGTGAAAGATAATCGAATAAAATGATGATTACTGCTGGAAAATACTAAGGATAAATAACTTACCACTTTTCGACTTGTTTTCGGCCGTATTGTTGAGGTGCGATTGTCATCAGACGGACTTGTTCTTTGTCATCGCTTTCATTGAACAACATTTTCAGGCCATCCAAAAGCTCGTTTGATTCACTGATCAACAGATTATGTGGATTTGCATTGTGTTGATCTTGAGGTTTTCCTTCTAACACATCACATAATCTATGAAGATATCTGTATACTTCATCGATTTTAGCACGAATGGGACGAACAGCCACCCTAATAATAAGAACATTTACAGAAAGCCGAGAACTAAGTGAGCGATTTACTTGTCGTGAATTGGATTTATATTCAATGATCGGAAGATAGTGGATAATTTTTATATTGCTTCATTTTGGTGATATTCGAGATCATAAGAAACATCATCTGATTCTTCATCCATTGATTCAGCATCAGTTTCTTCATCGTTGTCTTTTGTCTCAGCTTCCATGTTATCATTCATGTAAACATTATCCTCATCTTCTAGATTGTCATACGAAACTTCTTCGTCAGCATCTTCTTCATCATCTTCTTCACCAGAAGAAATATCTTCTATCGTGTATTCATCATCAGTGAGGCTTCTATTGTTGTTGATTTGCATTGGTTGATGAATTTTCATTTCATTTGATTCCAATGTATGACATCTAGGACAGAGCCAATGAACACGAGTGTCCGTGATATCATATCGACTGATTAAAAACATGGATAATTTCAATGAGACTGCTCTAACTCCTTTTGCTTCTGATGTAGATGTTGTGTGTCTCGTTGGATGTTGGCAATATTTTGGTCTCGACATTGAGTTTGTACAAAAGATAATAGAGAAATAATTCTGATGAACGATCTATTCTATACGATATCCTGTGACTCAACCAGCATTCGTATTCGTTTCAATTGAAACTTTTCGTGCATGCGTCTCCATACCTAGATGTCCTTGTGTGACAATCTTTAGTTTTATCACCCTTACTTCTTGTTCCGTTTGATTGACCAAAGTATCGATGTTTTCATTCAAAGTTATTGCCTGACAATCGTAACAAATGCTAAGATAAAAGGGCTAACCACGTAATGGTATGGTTTATCTAATTAAAAACAACCCAAGACTCCGATCAAAACTATCCAGATCAGCTATCAGCTGAGGACACCTGTGATAAAAGGTATTTGCTAGAATTGCTTTAGTGCGCAATGCAAGAGAGTGGGGACATTGCGCATCAATAAGATATTTTAAGATATTAGCGATTGGTGGTTACTTTCGCTGATGAAATACAGTCTATATATCCACTTTTCCACAAAAATGTCCCAGAATTCCAGACTCTCCTTATGAATGATTTTTTTTTCATTTCAAAAATGCTTTTAGACCCTTCCATAAGATTCAGCATAAAAAGTTGACCATGGAACGGTATTTTGCATCACCCGTAGAGCGCTTTAGCTGAGCTACCTGGCCTTTACTATGTATCTCGACATGTATCGAAAAATTGACCTGGAAGTCGAGAATTTTGATAATGAAAGCTAATTTTTTTTTTTTGATCGATAATGTTTTCTGAAGGGGATCAGCCGTTTGATGGAGAAAAAAACTGAAAAAAAAACTTTTCCAAAACGGTGGTTGGGTCTCCATGGATTTACCCATATATATGCTAGCATAAATCGTCTAACATTCCTCTTCTTATCTTACATTTTGAACTATCCTAAATCATTTCAGTAGAGGGTTAGCGACGATCGCGTCGCGTTACTTGTTAGATAACAATAAAATCATTCCAGAGCGCTTCATTAACCAGTTGCTTTTCGATAGTGTCTTTTTTTCGTTGAGTCTTGCTTTGCTGAGTTCTGTTTGTAGTTACTTTTCGAATGAGATAAGAAAATTATTTGGGAATGTGTATGTAGTGTAATGTGAAATATGATGTGACCAGACTAACTCAAATTTCTTGATTGGAAGCAATCATATTGTAAAAGCGTAAAACAAGTTTATTTGAAGTTTCAACAGCATTATTCATGTTGTTTGTGACTTGCTGGTATTCAATAGATTTAATGTTTTGATGCACCAAAATAAACATATCATAGAAGTCTAGAATATAATCTATTACATGATCAGCTATGTTGTGCACTAAAGCTTTAGCATTGTTACCACACTATATGAATTTAATATCTAAATTGGATCGACAAGCACTTAGAACACTATCATTGAGGTTGTAGATCAATTGAGGTGATCGGCACATATTTATCTGACCTGTAAAAATATTGATGTTGGAAATCTTCACAATCGTATGTGGCATACACTTAGGACAACATTTTTCAGCCATTGAACTTCATTTTGGAGCTTTTACTGCATCGTTACCGAATGCTAATGAACTTGCAGGACTTGCTGGATGACAGTATATCTTTGCGAAAATTTTGATTGAGCTCGCCCAACACACGAGTGTATGAGTGCACAGTGTGGGATACGAGCGAATAAGTGGATGCGACTTTTCCTCAAGAAATAATCCAATCACACTCTCACCCGATGCTCATTGCCAGACCCACAGCCTATCTATAACTGCAGCCGTTCATATTCCAAACTCACAATCTAGATCCACACCCACCCCACACCACACAGTCATAGTCATACTCAGAACGTCACCCATTTTCAAAACTTCCAAAGATACGCAGATCCACACCTGCATCCAAAACCAAGTTACTGGACACACTGTATCCCTAGTTCTAGCGGGTTCGGTAGTTTTCGCTTATGAGTTCAGTCGGTGAAACATTCTTTCAACAAAGTTTCAGGTGGCGAGAACCGTCAGCGAATCTGACGAAAATTTGTATCCACTTTTTATCAGTAGACTTGGTTGACTATAAGAGAAAGATACACAACAAAATGACATCTATTCTATTATATTCGTGATATTTTATATGCGTGCTATCCCATACAAGCCATTATCAAGAAGCTAGAAAGATATTGAAACACTATACATGCATTATTTTTTCTTATTCTTTGTATGTCTTTAAGAATTGGTTACGCAAATTTGTACGAAACACGTAAGTTCAAAAAATTCCATAATACTTGGAATGATTAATCAAGATATATTCTAAAAACTAGAATAGTCATAGCGCGTGTATAATGTCTTCTTGACTAACTCGTTCTTTTGCTGACAAAAGTATAATACTATTCATGCCAATTTCTTTGATCAGTTATGTAAAGGAGGTTAGAAGCTTATTCGAGGTTTTTCAAAAATGTTTTACCCCGTTGACTGAGTCAACTGAAAAATACAGTGAGCCAGATACATCTCGACGAATTGTCTCGATTGCTACACTTCTCATCTCAGCGAAAGCTAAATTTCAGCGACTAGGATTTATGGGAAATGCGGGAACCAGGCTTTCGATCAGTTTGACGTCTGAAGATTTGCAGCACAAGGTGAGCCACTTCTGAAACATGACTCATTCGATGCATTTGGACAAGCTCTATCAAATGGTATACGATTTGTTCGAATACAAATCAAAGTTCATCGAATATGGTCTCCTAAAATCTAGGAACTTGGCTTCCCGTCCGTATTTCACCTGACGACTCGATTTACAACATGAGCCACTTATGAGACTTAGCTTATTTGATGCAGCTCGACGAACCTATCGAATAGTATTTATTTTATCCAAATCAAAATAAATTTTGTTGGTCAGTATTCCCAGAATACTAAAAACTGGTGTTTCGGCCCACAGCGGCTCTCACTATTTGCTTCATAAGTCGAGCCCTTCAATCAACTGACCTGATTCGACTGAGCTAGAGGAGTCCTGCAAATATGCGTACGCCTTACTTAAACGAAAATAAAATTTCGGTTGGTCGTATGTTTGACAAACTTACAAGAGTCTCGGCTCGTATTTTTCAAGAAGATTCACTACACATTCTGAGTAACATCTGAAACCCACCTCATTGGATGCAATTCGATATGCTTTCTCATCGTGATAGGCACGGTAAAGACCCACCCATACACTTCTCATTCGATAGAACTTCCTTGATGACCATCGGATTAGCTCCCATATAACTAGTAGTTGTGCTCAAAATAAGAGACTAAAATTCTCCTGAAATCTGATTGCGCGATTTTTGATCAATCAAATTCGAGACAACATCACTAATCATTTACCGTTTTCTTTTGTCCCACATATATGTAAATACATATATGAGTGAATTGCAACTTTTTGGTACAATTGACGACAAAAAATGAAAATGAATCAAAACAATTTTTGAGTGGTGCATTTTGTCACATTCTATGCCCGTATTAATTGTCTAAAGTGTCCCAACACTTTATCTGATATTAAGGAAAATACAGACTGTTAAGTTCAATTCCTGTGTAATTCAATGGTAAAATTTCATTTAATAGTTAAAACTTAAAAATCATTTATCAGGTTAGCACATCAAATAAATAGTCAGAATAGACCAGAATCCAGTCAAATTTACTCGTCGCAGTCAGCTAAGCTAAACAATAAGTGAAAAGAATAGGTTTGACTGAGTTCAACACGTAATATTTTCGAAAAAGCGTCGCCCTACATATTTTTTAGAAGAAACGACGCTAAATTTTTCAGTATAATGTAAATTTCTACCGAACAGAAGCAGATTGGGAACTGAACTTTTAAATGGTTATAGAACTTTTTACTTTACATAAATCCTCAAAGTTTGAACTAAATCGAACGAATCATTCAACAGTTACAAACGAATCAAAACTGAAATCGTCACTCTACAAAGTAAGTGAAATCACTTTATTCTCAAAAAATTTTCTATTTTTATGGAGAAAGAAATTCAAAAATATAAGGTTTCTTTCGTTCATTTTGTTTCTTAATGAGTGAATATGTCGCAAAATCTAGAAAAAAAAATCTAGAAAACAAAAAATCTAGAAACGGAAAAATTTAGAAAAAAAAATCTGGAAAAATATAAACCTAGAAAGATAAAATTTAGAAAAGCTGAAATCCAGAAAAAGAGGGTGTGAGGTGTAGGTGTGGATGGGTGTGGATGGGGTGTGGGTATGGGCGTAGGTTTGTGGGTGTGTAGGTGTGGGTGTTATAAGAGTGAGCAGACACACTCATATTTACACCCACACGTATACACTACCCACACTCACACACGACCCACATCTACACACTACCCACACCCACTCACACCCATCCATACCCACACCCACACCCACACCCACACCCCACACACACCCACACCCACGTCCGCACTCCACACACCCGCCCCCTCACCCTCACCCACACTCTAAGACGCGGCACATGTGTTTTGTACAGGGAAGCGAACTAAAAACATTGTTACCACAACGATCGCGAAACCTTCCAGTCATATTGTTTGACCATATCTGCTCGCAGCACAAGAAATACCAACCAATCTCTATAATAAACTGATAAATCATCTCCTTCAATTGTACGCATGTGCAGAGATTTTATATTGTTATCCTAGTGCCATTAATGTGACACCCTACACATCGATATATGAAAAAGAGAAATTCACAATACTAAAACAGTCAGTTTTCGTTAGTCTCTATCGGATCTCCACAATGGCAATGAATGTCAATAAAAGGTAGTAGAAATTTGCGCAGAGAGAAAGAAGGACTTTAAAAGAAAAAAATCGTATACACAGGGGAGACTTCACATTGAATCGCATTCAGTTCTTATCGCGCACTATCGGCTTGTTGTGAAACTTTACCCTGTCGACTTTCTTAATTGGACTTGTCGCCGTTTTGACTTTATGGCAGTTACTTGTATTCTCTTTTTGTTAGTCACTACTCTCTACCTCTTGCTGGAAATAGTTTTGTTCTACAGCAGCGAATATGAGTCTTCGAAGCA